GGGCCGTGTTGAGCCATGTGGCTTTGAGGTGGTGCCCATCGAGAACCCATGTGAGTGCTGGGGGCTCCTGGACCCACGTGTGCCCAGTGATACTGTGCGAGTCCCTTTTTAGGGACTGGAGGCAGGGTCACACCAGGCTTTCCCAGGGCTGCTTCTAGACAGGGCACGCTTTAACCCGTCTGTATGTTGCAGTGAAAAGAGCCCGTGTCCTGGATGCAGAGGGCTTGGCCCTTGGCTCTGTCATCGCCACCTCCAAGAAGGCCAAGCGGGATTTGATTGATGATTCCTTCAACAGGTACTCGCTCTGCCAACAGGGCACAGGCAGGTGGATTGGTGAGGAGACCCCACATCCTGCTTACCTGAGTCCCTCCCGCCAGGTATTCCTTCAACGAGGATGAGGGCGAGCTGCCGGCCTGGTTCACGGAGGAGGAGCAGCAGCACCGGCGCCGGCAGATCCCGGTGGACCGGCAGACGGTCGAGGCCTATCGGCAGCGCTGGCGCGAGATCAACGCCCGCCCCATCAAGAAGGTGGCAGAGGCCAAAGCCCGCAAGAAGCGGCGGGTGAGTGGGGCTGTGGACCTGTGTGTGGCTCCGTTCCCCCCCTTCCCGGGTGCTCCATCCCTCCTCAAATCCTCCTTGTCCCCATCTCTCGCTGCCGCCACAGATGCTGAAGAAGATGGAGCAGATGAAGAAGAAAGCAGAGGCTGTGGTGAGCACAGTGGATATCTCGGAGCGGGAGAAGGTGGCCCAGCTGCGGCGGTGAGTGGTGAAGCTGAGGTCCAGATCCTGCCTGTTGTGCTGGGCTGGTTCATGATGCCTTGTCCCTGCAGCCGCCACACAGGAACAGCTCCTGGGTGTAACCCAGCAGGGTTGGCAGAGGCTGGGCTGGATCTGGGTGCACGTTGAGGGCTGGCAGAGGAAGCACAGGAGCCCCGTCTTGGGGCCAAACTGATCTAGCTGGGCCAGGGTCTCGGTCTCACCTTTTGCCATTCTCTCCTAGCATCTACAAGAAGGCTGGGCTGGCCAAGGAGAAGCGGCAGGTCACCTACCTGGTGGCTAAGAAAGGTGTGGGACCCCGCGTGCGCCGTCCTCCTGGGGTCAAGGGCCAGTTCAAGGTTGTTGACAGCCGCCTGAAGAAGGACGTGAGGGCTCAGAAGCGCAAAGAGCAGAAGAAGAAACGCCATAAATGACGTGGGACCAGCTCCATCCACAGGGAGGGACTCGGCTTGGGAGCAACCGGCTCATCCTGGCCCTCTGCCCCATCCTGGGGACAGGACTGTGACAGCCACACATTGCTATTGGTGCCTTGATGTGACATTGCCTCCTGTCCTCTGGTGGGGCAGGGAGGGTTTATTTGGCCTCAGCGCTGCAGCACTGACCCCCTTTGAGCTCTGTTGCCATTACTGACTCTTGTGGAGATGGCATCAGCATCCACACCAGCCCTCACTGTCCGCAGGGAGGTCGTGGCTCAAGGGGATAGCTCCCTGGGCCATGCTTGTCACCGAGCCCTCGGGCAGGTGCCTATCCACGGGTATGCACAGAGCAGCTCTGGTTACGGCAGAATTAAACCCTGGTCTGAGGTTGCACCAGGATGTGTCCTGCTTCCCTTCATCACATTTGACTGGCAGAGGGCCCAGCCAGCAGCGGGGCCAGACCTGCACCCACCCTGCCCCAGCCAATGCAGTCCAGGGCAGCCCCCCCATCCCTGCACCCCTCATCACTGCCACCCTCCCTGTATGGGACGCTGCAAGTTTAGGAAAGAGACCAAGAGGAAAGCTGTGCTTGAGCCAGTGTGTTCATTTAGAGCCAGGCAGGGTCTGGGGACTGTGGCTTCTCCCTGTCAGCAGTGCCTGAATCCGGTTGCAGAGGTGGTCCCTGCAGCCCTCATGGTGGCAGTGGTACCATGTTGGTGCCAGGGATGGGAAGCACGGGGTCCTGGTGGGGTGGGAGCTGCTAAAGGGGGATGTGACAAAATCCAGAGGGAGCTGCAAGCACCTCAGCCATGTTCTGCCCTCGTGGAGGGCCAGGGCTGGGGTCAGAGTGGGAGCAGAGGCCATCGCCTGTCCTGGTTCTCAGTGACTGAGGGAGCTGGGATGAGCGGAGGGTTCCAGCTGCCAGGCTTCAGGCTGTGCTGGAAGCTTCCCTACTGACCATCAACATCTTCAACAGGAGATAGGGGTGTGCTGAGAGGAGAGGGCCCCTGTCCCTCCAGCTGAGCCCCATCCCTTGGAGCTCAATGTCTCATCCCCTGTATGAGCCCAAATCCATGGGTGGGGAGCTCCATAAGGAGCACAGGAGGACTGGGGAGGGTCTGAGCCCCCTCAAAGAGGCCCAGCTCTTCTCTGCATCCCACAGCCTGGGTCCTCCCTGACCTCAGCTTCCCAAGCTCTGCCCAGCAAGACCCCATCCATTAATCCAGGGCTCCAGGCCCTCTCTCCACCTCCATCCTGACTCATGGCCCATCTTTCCCTGGCTCCAGGGACTCAGCACAGGCCACAGACCCCTTCAGGGTCAGTGGGTCCCCATCAGGGTCCCGCTGGTGGGGTGACCCTTCTGCCCTGTCAGGCTCAGCCCCTCCCTGAGCTGCAGGGTGCACTGTAGGCAGCACCCTTGCTATCGCCTGCAATGGGAAGGATGAGCTCAGGGTGAGCTGCTCCTGTTGGTGAGCCCAAGCTCATTAATGGGAATTGAAGCCCAGCCAGGCCCCCTCTGGGCCACTATGGTGGCCACCAAGGCCACGCTCCCAGCAGGGCTCACCTATCTCATAGCAGTCACACAACACCACGGTGCCTGGCTTGGGGGTTCCTCACTGGGAAGTCCTGAGGGGTGAAGGTGAAGGTGTCCTCCTCCTGTCTCAGCTGTGGAGACATCCCAAGGATGAGGTGCGACCATCCATGATGGGGAAGCATCCCCACACCCCAGCACGGGGGGTCCTGCTCCTGTCCCCGTACACAGGGGGGACACAACCACAACTCCAGGCAAGGAGAAGCGGTGACATGAGAGGTGTAGGGATGAGCTACACCACGGAACTGACCCCACTGAGGCCTTGAAGAGGTCCTGGCTGCACAGAAACCTGGGCTGGGGTGCAGGGCCAGCATCCCTGCTCTGCTTCTGGGTTCCCCTTGACTCCTCAGCTCAGCAAAGCAAAGGCTCTGCTCGCACATCAGCTGCACGTGAGGCAGCACCTACAATAAACCATCCCAGAGGCACCAGCCATGGGCAGGGACAGCCCACCGGCCTGGCCAGCAATCACAGGCATGGGATGAGCTCCCACCTCCCGCCAGCCACGGACGGATAGACAGACACAGAGAGGGCTCACAGAGCTGCAGACACCCCAGGTGCTAGATGCAGGATGAGGACAGGCAGGGTCCTCACGTCTCCACATACCAGAGGACGATGGGGATGGCCACAGCCTCCTCCTCCAGGCGCTGGAACGCTGTAGACCTGCATCTGCTCTGCAGCGAGATCTTTGCTCTCCATGCAGTGAGCAAACAAGGGCTGGCAGAGGGACCTGCAGGTGCAGCCAGGGCACTGTTTGCCCACAGCCTCCTGGGTTCAAGGCTCTGGTGGCCTTTGGAGATGGGAAGAAAGGTTCCCATAGGCTGTAGAGGTTGAAAACCAGGAGCAGGAGCCTCATACACACGGGTTTGCTGGGAAACCACAGCAGGAGGGAGCAGGAATGAATCCCCACACCGAAAGCAGGCAGCACATCCTGGGTACAGTGTGTGAGCTGCTGTCTCACAAGGGCTTGTTTCCAGGTACTTCAGATCTAGCCCAAAAGCAGCTGTTTGGGCTGGGTGCAGGGCTCAGGCTGTCTTTTTGCCCGGTTTCCTCCAACTGCATCAGCTCAGTTACGGGCACAGGTACAGAATGGTGCTGGGCTGGGAGCCGGACACCAGCCTGGGCACAGGCTCCTTATTTCCTAGTGGGAATTTAGGGAAGTTGAGGCGGCCCCATGACTGCCATACAGTGCTCTGGGCACAGCCCGCTTCCCTTTGGGGTATGGGGGGGGGGGCAGAGGCTGCAGGAAGCCATGGATGGGGTGGATCTCTTTCCCATGGGCTGTCCCCATGGATACAGCCCTGCCCTTCAGGAGCAGCCCCACACAGTCTCAGTGTGTGGAGGATGCTGGTCCCTGCCAGGCCATGGAGACAAGGTGGGAGCACGGCCCTGAGCCCATTCTGCTGCTCCAGGGTGTGGGCATGGGTCAGTGCCCCGCAGGCATCCCGGGGATGGTTCCATGTGAAGAGGAGCTCAGGGCCATCAGCGCAGGAGGCAGTGGGGGCTGTGAGCACTGAGGCCGAAGGGAGATGGAATCGGGAGCAGGGGGAGCTCTGCCTCTGCTGTGGGGATGCTGAGGGGAAACAGCACATGGAGGATGCGTCATTGGGTGCCTGAAGCAGGAGCCAGTGTCCCCCAGCCCCTCCTGACCAGGCACCACTGACCCCACGCTGTGCTGCTGCTTCTCTGCCTTGTTGCCAGCGCAATGAATGCTCCCTCTGGTTTGGTCTCAGCTCTCTATTCAGCAAAGCAAAGTGAAGGTGCAGCCCCAGTGACACATCACGGAGGCGGAGGGGAGCGTTGTGCTCCCCGCACAAAGTGTGGTTTGGGGTTGGCTTTGAGCAGGGATGGTGGAAAGAGCCTGAAGCAAGGGAGCTTCCCTGCAGGGCCGACATTTCGCTGCTCATCTTCCTCTTCGCTTATTCCCAGTTCCGTTTTTCCTCATTGTTTCAGCCTGGCAGAGCAGGGACAGGGTCAGGGCAGCCCTGAGCATCCTCTCCGTGCCCAGCCATCAGGCTCGCACTGCTGTCCCAAGGTGTTTTGCCAGCCCTGGATCAGCTCAACTGCCCTGATCCCCTCTCCAAGGGATTGCCTAAGGGAAACCACAACTTCACGGTGGGCACCAGGGCTGGGTTTTGGAGTCCTCATCTTAACCACGCTGCTTCAGGCTCCTACTGGGTCTGGTGAAGGGGATGAAGGGATGGGAGAAAGCTGCCAGCCCTCGGCTGTCAGGTGGGATAGGATGGAGTCAGGAGCAGGGGGAGAGCCACACAGCTGCAGTTTTCCTTCACATCAGTCTTGGAGGCTTTAAACGCAGGAATACAGCAGGTATGAGACTGGCGTCAGTCAGCCTGCCCTTCTCTGTCCCAGAAAGGCCTTCCTACCTCCAACAAATACCCTACCTGGAACCCGACCAGCGGCCCATCGGCTCTGATGGCCCATGAGAGCTTAGGGCCACCTGGGCTGTCCTTGGAGCAGGCACATGCACGGTGTGATGAGAACATCACACACCCAGCAGCCTCAAATGTACCAGTCTCACCCCAACAGGGAAGGCAAGGCACCATCCCACTGATGGTGGGTGACGGTCCTACTAAGCATGGATGCACTTGGTGCACCCTGCAGCACCCACAAGCTCCATTCAGCCTGGCTGAGGGATGGGGAGATGCTCTGCTCCGCTCTGCTCCATGGGTGACTGCTTTGGGTGCAGCTCTGCTCCTGGCAAGAGGGTGGCACAAGCACCTCCGTGCTCACCTGCACCATAAGAAGCTTTGTCTCGGTGTCTATGTGCCCATGGGCTGGCACCACGGGCACCTCGGTGCCGCAGAGCTCCTCAGATTGCAGGGCCCTGGCGATGACGGTGGTGTTCACCTCCCCTGTGAAGGGAGATGGGGACATGGCGGTGATACTGCCTTAGGGGCTGGCTGCAGCTCAGAGCCACCCTGGGGACATGGGGAAGGAGGAGCGTGCAATGGATGTAACGGGACCGGGAAATAGAGGGAAGAGATTGGAGAGTGGAGAAGGGAAAGGGAAAAGGGGAGAGGAAGCTTGGAGGGGGAGGAAAGGATCAGAAAAGCAGTGACAAAGAGGAGGGTTTCAAGCAGTGTCTGGGCTTTCCTACCCCATCTCCAGCCCTTTTCATACCCATGCTGGTGGCTCTCACATCCCACTGGAAGGTCCTTGTTTCATCTGCACACACACAACCACCGTTCACCTCATCCGAGCCAGCCAGCACCTCCAGCTCCACTGACTCCATCAGCACCACCTGGACCTGCCAGACCACAGCTCCCTCAGCCACCACCGGGCCCCCAACCCAGAGCCCCTTGCCTGGCCCCTCTCACCCTCAGGCAGTGATGCAGGAGGTTGAAGACAGTGGCCACGAGGGTGAAGGCTTCGTGCTGGACCACGGCGTAGGGCAGCGCCAGCTCCACGAAGAAGGGCTTGAAGGTTGTGATGGTGGTGGCAGGGGCCAGCCCCAAGCCCAGAGGGGATGTACAGAGCATCCCCACTTCCCACTCAGTGGTGATATTGGGCACCGGCACCGTCACCTCCGCAGAGCCATGGTCCCTGCAGGGAGGTGGGAGATGGATAGGTTTTACACAGTGGGTCTGATGGGCAGAGCCAGCAGAACCCCCTTCCTCTGGGTCTTGGGGACCATTGGTGGCCATCATACACGTGGAGGTGGGCAGAGGCACCATCAGTGTCTTAGGGCACCCCCTGCCTATAGGACAGACTGCCCGATCTCTCCTAGGCTCAGTGCTGAGGTCCAAGGGAAGGGGCTGAACGTGTCTCAGTGTCACTCCTGATTATGTGGACACTGAACCGGAGGTCTGGGCACTGCACCCAGCGCTGAAGCTGGTGCAGTTACCTGAGGTCTGCTGGGGCTCCTTACTCACCCCACAGGCACCAGCTCCCACAGCCACGTTTCCAGGAAACCCATCTGCATCCCCGGGTCCTTCAGGACATCTGCCAGAGGATCAGCCTCCAGCTCTGGACCTGCAAACAGGCGTGACTTGAACGTGCTGCCAGGAAGGATGGGAAGAGGCAGGATGCCTCCGGCCATTATTCTGCAGCCAGCACTGAGGCTGTTACAGATCCTCCCCACTCACTCTGGGGGTACCGATGGCTGCTCGATGGGCAGCCCAGCTCTATGTTGGTGGCAGTCTTCAAACTTGCACCCTGAAACAGAGCACATGAGAGAGAACAGCAACCACGCCGGAGCCCACAGATCCCCACATGCCTTTTCCATCCCTCTCTGACTCCAGGAACCAAAGCCCCATGGCAGAACAGAGCTCCTGAAGATCAGGACCCCCTGCCACGCTGTAACGGGAGTGCAGGAGAGGAATATTTGTGCCAGGAGAAGCTGCTGCATCAGGGAGAGCTGGGGAGGATGCGGTGAATCTGCTCTGCCTGCTCCAATCCCAAACAGCCCCAACACCTGGGTTTGCTGCCAGTGGGAGACGCGCACCCCCCAGAAAGCAGGGGAATGCCGGGACAATCTTTTCTGTTCTCTCCAAGCACAGATTTGTGATGGGAAGAGCAGAGCTTTGCCCCTTCCCTATGGAATGCTGCAGGGCCTGAGCTGGCAGATGTGTGTGTCCTGAGCTGGTCTGTGAGCACACACACTGGCTGGGCAAAGGACTGGGTGTTCCCAGCACCCTAAGGAGGAAGAGGAGTGTGAGGAAGGGCTGGAGGGCTCATACCTCAAACAGGCTATAGGAGCCTGGCTGAGCGTCAGGCTGCAGGACCTGCCAGCTCCTCGGTCGGCGGCGGCAGGTCCTCCTCTTCCCTGGCACATCATAACAGTTAATGGATGGAAGGAAGAGAATTTGGCCTCCATACCCACACCTCAGCTCCTGAGATGAAGTAAATTCTTCAAGTTCAAAAGAATAGGTGGATCCAGAAGGTATTGGAAGTGAGTTATAGACCTAAACCAAACACATGAGCTTTGGGTGAGAAAGACAGGAAATGCTCCTGGCCCAGTTCCAACCCCTTTTGCCCCTGTCACTGCCCCATAGCTTCTGCACCTCCCTGGGTGTCATAGTGATGCCACCATCTCCAGCCCTTCCACTGGGACCTGTCACTTCCCCATCTCTCTTCTCCCCAAGGGCAGCGATGCTTCCCAAGGTCCCTCTTTGTCCTCCCCTAAAATCATAGAGTCATAGAAGCTTTGGGTTGGAAAGGACCAAAGATCATCCAGTTCCAGCCCCTGCCATGGGCAGGGATGCCTCACACTGGACCGTGTCTCCCAGGGCTCTGTCCAACCTGGCCATGAGCACTGCCAGCAGTGGTTCTCTGGACAACCTGTTCCAGTGCCTCAGCACCCTCACAGAGAAGAACTTCTTGCTGTATCTAAGCTGAACTTCCCCTGTTTCAGTTTGAACCCGTCACCCCTTGTCCTATCACTATAGCCCCCATGCCCCAGCAGCAAGCTCAGGACCAGCCTAGCACCGAGGTTACTCCAGCCTCACCACGTCGGGGTTGAGCTTGCCCTTGCTGCTGGAGGACTGTCCACGTTGATCCACGCCATAGATAGCACAGAGTGACCCCGGGGCAGCCTGCACCTTCATGTGGAGCTGGGAGCCCACCACAGCCCTCTGCTCCGAGAAGGACAGGTTCACCTGGAGAGAAGGGAAGCCTTTGGGTTAGGGGAGAGGGGAGCTGGTCCCAGGCAGCTGGGCACCATCGTGGAGGACTGAGCTCAAAGCCGGGGGATGCTCTGCAGCAGCAACAGGGACAGGAGAGGAAGGAAACCCCTCCCTGAAAGAAGAGCCTGGGCCCAGCCGGTTGCAGGGGGTGAGGAAGGGCTCAGTGCCCCCATCTCCCCTCCGAGCCCAGCAGCCTCTTCTCACCTCGCTGGGGAAGCACTTGGCCACCTTGAGCTCGGTGCTGTCGGCCACCACCTCGCTGCTGGGCAGCACCACGTAGCCCAGCACCTTGGCTGCGGGCACCAGCTCGAGGCCGATGGGCAGCTCCAGGGAGAAGGAGCCGCTGAGCCCTGGACAGTGCAAAGGGAGGGGAGTGAGGAGCAGGCACGGAGCAGAGCCCTGCACAGCCCCACGTGCCCCAGGACCCACCGGCATCTGCAGGCAGCTCCTTCCTGAGCACGGTGGCGATGGTCCCCTTGGCCAGGACCTGCAGAGGAGGAGGTGGGGATAACGGAACCTGTGCTGGGTGGGGAAGCGGCACCAGGAGATGAGGGGAGGCTGCGGAGGATGCTCAGGGACAGACTATTAGACCAACATGGGATGGAAATGGTGCCCCAGCACCTGACACCTCCAGAGTCCATCCCTGAGTCCAGGAGTATCTGCCCAGGGCTGGCTGGAAACGAACTCTGCTGGAGGGGAAGATCCTCCTCCCCTGAGCCCTGCCTCTCCTGCAGCTTCCCCTCTCTCCTCAGGTTGAAGGCTCACCAGTAAGACCACATCCAGGCTCTGCTGCTTGCTCCCCATGGCCTTCTCATCAAACACGTAATCCACGCTGAGCTGCAGGGGCTGGCCGCAGGGCAGCTCCTTTTTCACCCTGTGTATCTTCAGGAAACTTGTGGTACCCACAGAGACGGCATACGCGTGGCGAGGAGCACTTTTGTAGCTGCGATGCTCCAGGTTTTCATCCTCAGAGGCTGCAGTTTTGACCTCACCCTGAAGGGTGGAAATTGGGGCTGTCAATGGCAAAGATCAGCTCAGCAGCAGAGCTCAGTAGGGGCTGAAAGCCACCCTGTGACTGCCACCCTCTTCGCTGTGACATCCCTGCAGGAGCATGCAAAGAAACACAATCCAGGTGTGCTCGGCACCCAAAAGCGTGGAGCTGCGTGCCATCATGGGGCTTGTCCAAAGGACACTCGAAGGGGATGGCAAGAGGAGGCAGGGATCTATATGCTGATGAAGCATCCCAGAACTACCTGATCTTGTGCCCAAGTGGTGAAGGTGGAAAGGATCCTGAATTTGGCAGTGAAGAATGAGAACAGTAAGGCAGAGAGAAGGAATTAGAGGGAGAACATTACAGAATACACCAATAGTGGGAGTGGAGCCTTTTCCCAGCGCAGCAGGCAGGAAGGGTGCTGAGATCTGTAGGGTTTGACTGGCAGCAAGGCATGAAACAGGGTTAATACACACATGGAGCTCTTCACCGTGGGATGCTCTGGGTGCACAAAGACCAAATGTGGTCAAGGGGAGGCTGGAAGTTTTGGTGTAAAAAACTCTGTGATCTTTACCAAAATCCGGGTGTCTGAAGGGAAATGGGTCACTTACATGCATGGAGACCCTGTCCTTCCAACCAGAGGTGTCCAGCTCGAAGGAGGCTCTCCCCGACCCATCTGTGAGCAGGGTTTTAGTTTGGATTTCTTCAGCATTAACCACCACCAGGAGCTCCTTCTCTGTTAGGGCAGAGCCGTTAAGTCCCTTCAGCAGCATCTGCACGAGGAGGAAAGGGGAGATGCTGGGTGGGATAACAGGGTTGGAGGTCTGAGGGAGTGGGATTGGGTGCAGCAGGAGCCCTGTAGGGCACAGGGACCACCCCCCATTACCGTCCCAGTGTAGGGGACCCCAGGCTTGTAGAATTCATCACTGCTTTCAAACACGATGATGATCTCTTCATCCACAATCATACAGCTCTTTCTGGCTGTGCGCTGCATCCCTGCGGAGAGGAGAAGCACTGAACACCATGCCCTTGTGATTCCCACCAGGAAAAAGGGGTCAGAGAGTCTCAAGTGTGCAGCGTCACACGTTCTGCTGTCTCTGCAAGTGGCCATAGGAAACAAAGCTCTCCTCTTGCAGGCAGTGGCTAAGGGGCAAGTTTGCACAGTGCAGAGCCACACAGACTGGGCAACATGCAAAACCAGAGTCATAGAATCATGGAATGGTTTGAGTTGGAAAGGACCTCAAGATCATCCAGTTCCAACCCCCTGCCGTGGGCAGGGATGCCTCCCATTAAACCATGTCACCCAAGGCTCTGTCCAACCTGGCCTTGAGCACCGCCAGGGATGGAGCATTTACCACCCCTCTGAGCACCCTGTGCCAGCGCCTCAGCACCCTCACAGGGAAGAGCTTCTGCCTTAGATCTAACCTGAACGTCCCCTGTTTCAGTTTGAACCCATCACCCCTTGTCCTATGACTCCAGTCCCTGATGAAGTCCCTCTCAAGCATCCTTGTAGGTCCTCAGGTGAGACAGGATCTACAGCGTGAGCAGGACCACGCTCTGTGTGCTACCCAAATACCGAGCGTTACCCGAAAGTGCCCCTCTTCATGGCTGTAAGCAAAAGAAGAGGCCCCTCGCAGCTGCATTGTGCTGCCATTAAGCTTTTTACTTGACTCTAAGGATGTGTCTAACAAACCCTAACACACAACCAATGCGACAGTTTATAACTAGATTCAAAGCCGAAAAGACCTACTAAGACCAACAGTACCCTGGTAGCTTCCCAGGCACGACTCAAGCACACCAACTAGTCTTCAGGGAGGCAGAGGAAGGTGAGGTGCATGACGGAAGGGATATGTGAGGGAGAGGATGCTGGAAGGGGAAGAACCTCCTCATCAGCCTTCAGGACCTTGGGGACTGCTCCAGCAGTCAGGAATAGAAGGAAAAATGACACCAAAGCAAGCATGGGCACAGAGGGACTGGTGGTAATGGATGGGAAGGACAGGGACCCTGGGGACACCCGAGCAGAGCAGTTGTGCCACATCCTCCAGGTGCCACCACCCCAGGACGTCACCGCGGGGCTGTCAGCATCACTGTGCTCACCAGTGCCCTCCTCCAGCAGCGACACAAAAGCGTGGAGCTGATCCTCGTAGTCCAGGCTGGTCAGGTTGAAGGAAGTGGCTGGCACCTCGGTGGAGAAGCAGCCGTTCCTCCCGGTCTGAATGAGAGAGTCACCCGTGTTGGAATCACAGAGCCACAGCATGGGTTGGGTTGGAAGGGACCTCAAATCTCATGAAGTTCCAACCCCTGCCACGGGCAGGGACCCCTTCCACTGGAGCAGCTTGCTCCAAGCCCCTGTGTCCAACCTGGCCTTGAACACTGCCAGGGATGGGGCAGCCACAGCTTCTCTGGGCACCCTGTGGAGGCCACGAGGTTGATCAGGGGCTGGAGCACCTCCTGTATGAACACAGGCTGAGAAAGTTGGGGCTGTTCAGCCTGGAGAAGAGAAGGCTGCGTGGAGACCTCAGAGCGGCTTTCCAGTATGTGAAGGGGGCCTACAGGGATGCTGGGGAGGGACTCTTCATTAGGGACTGGAGGGATAGGACAAGGGGTAACGGGTTAAAACTGAAACAGGGGAAGTTCAGGTTAGATCTAAGGCAGTTCTTCCCTGTGAGGATGCTGAGGCACCGGCACAGGGTGCCCAGAGAAGCTGTGGCTGCCCCATCCCTGGCAGTGCTCAAGGCCAGGTTGGACACAGGGGCTTGGAGCAAGCTGCTCTAGTGGAAGGTGTCCCTGCCCATGACAAGGGATTGGAACTAGAAGATCTTAAGGTCCTTTCCAACCCAAACTGCTCTATGATTCTCTAACTCTGGCTTTGAAGCAGTTTCACATGAGAGCCGGATGACCTTGTGATGCTCAAATGATGCACCCAGCCATCATCAGCCCAAGCACCCCAGAATGGGGAAAAACTGCTAGGACCAGCACCCATGTGCCTTCTCCCTCTCCTGGTGCCTTCACCTGACCCCTAAGCTCAGCACAGGTCATCGCAGGTGCGTTCAGGACAGCACCAAAGCTGTAGAACTGGCACAGGCTGGCCTCAGCTCTGCCTCGGAAGGTTTTCCCTGATGGGTACCTGTTGGGAGGGAGCAGGAAGGGGAGCAGATGGGGAAGATGTGAAGGGAGCATCACCCCAGGAGCAGGCAGCTTTGCTGCTCTCCAACTCACAGCCCACAGACGTCCAGTGGGATCTTCTCATCCTTTTCCGTCACAAAGCGGGGCAGCCGGATCAGCACTTCAAAGTTGGACTGTCCTGGGGGGGGAGAACGGGATTGTTCCCATTTCTTCCTTCCTCAGTTTCTTGCCATTCCATGAGATGGCTCCCAAAGAGCCTGCGTGGAGCCCAGCCTGCATCCGCACGCACCGGAGTCCTTCACAGTGAATTGGTGAGAGCTGCCCTCCATGCTGATGGTGTAGGTGCCCAGGGCCGGCTCTGCACCCAGCGAGAAGGACAGGTCCACGATGCCCTGCTGCAGGCTCACCTCTCGCCACTCCGCCACAGGGTTCTCGTTGGGATCCTGCACATGGGGACGTGTGGCATCAGCTCATGGAGACAAAGACAGGGCAGGTGGGGTGAGAACCTCAAGGACTCAGGTCACTCTGGGTATCCTCGAAAGAAGCAGGGGTTTTGCCCTGACATCACGCTCAGAGCATCCCTGGGGACATCACCTCTCCAAAAGGAAAATTCCCCACCCTGGGTGCTGTATTATCTGAGCTCCAGCCTGGTTACAGCAGCTGGAGCTGGCAGGGGGGTGCTCCAGCCTGGACTGGTTGCTCAGGGGATTCTCCAGTTGGGGTCAAAGTCCCTGTAGCAATAGCCATTGCCACCTTCTTTTGTGTAACCTCCCAGAGGACATCCTGTCTCGAAGGCAGGCAGAATCCTGACTCTTAGTGGGCTGGGAATCATAGAATCACACACCATGGTTTGTGTTGGAAGGGACCTTAAAGCCCATCCAGCTCCAACCCCTGCCACGGGCAGGGACCCCTTCCACTGGAGCAGCTTGCTCCAAGCCCCTGTGTCCAACCTGGCCTTGAACACTGCCAGGGATGGGGCAGCCACAGCTTCTCTGGGCACCCTGTGCCAGCGCCTCAGCACCCTCACAGGGAAGAGCTTCTGCCTTAGATCTACCCAAGCCCTTATGCCTGCTCTCTGTAACTTCTCTCAACACCCGCAGCAAGGATGCTCCTTGTCCCCAGTATCACACACATGCTGGGGGCCCATTGCTCCTCCCAAGGGAGCCGACAGGCTGCCACAGGATGGCAACTCACCCACACGACCACCAAGAGAATCTGCAAAGAGAGAAAGAAGCATTTACCATGGTCAAAGTGCAGAGTTGAGCTCGTGCCTAAACCGGGGGCTGAGCCCCAATCCTGGTTTCCTGCAGCCCCTTTAGGCACTGGAGCTGCTGTGAGGTCTCCCCTTCAGGAGCCTTCTCTTCTCCAGGCTGCCCCAGCCCAGCTCTCTCAGCCTGGCTCCAGAGCAGAGCTGCTCCAGCCCTTACAGGATCCCCATGGCCTCCTCTGGCCTCATCCAGCAGCTCCACATCCCTCTTGTGCAGCTGCCCCAGGGCTGGAACAGGACTGCAGGGGGGGGTCTCCCCAGAGCGCAGCAGAGGGGGAGAATCCCCTCTGACCATACCCCACATCCCTCCAGAGTTTTGGGGATTCCATCCCTGAATCCATCTCCTCCATACTCATGGAGACACTGAAGATTTTGCCACTGCTGCCAAGACCGATGGTCTCAGGCACATGGGGACACTACTGCCTCCAACCCCCGCCTCATGCCCCAAGCCCATCTCACCTCTCTGTTGATGGCAATGAGGTTTTGATCCAAACAGACAATTCGGATCTTCACTGGAGAGAGCAAAGGCAGGAGCAGGAGTGAGCGCTACAGCCTGGGACCCAAACCTGGGGATCCCATCCCAAGAACCTGGGAGCTCTTCCAGCTCCTCCTGCCCCTCACCAGTTTGTCCAGGCTCGTAGACATCCTTGTCTGTCTGCACCAAGGCCGTCGGGTCCAGAGCTTTCACCACGACTTTCCTCTGCTCGGAGACCTGCAGGGAGCCTCCCTGAATGGAGATGTGCAGATCCGCAACCTGGTACATCCAGGCAGAAGCAGTAGAAATCTGCCCACAGGGAAACACCAGGAATGGTTTCAAAGCCTTTATTTTGGATGCCAATGCGACACCAAACCTCACCATCACCACCCCGCTGACCCCTGAAGGCACCAGGGACCTGCTATGCATGGGAAGATGATGCTCCCAAGGTCCCCATACATGCTCCATGTCCCTCCACTCTTCAGTTGACTCTTGGCCATCCAAATGGACCCCAGTCCCCTCCCCGTTCCCCCAGCCCGGCTATGGCAGAGGGGCTGCGACTCACGTTGGGGAAGCGGGGCCAGTTCAGCTCGAGGATCTCATTGCCCTGCTCCTCCAGGGTGACGTTGGGGACTCTGAGCTGGCTTGCCAGGTGCAGGGTCACCCGCACGGGCTCATCCAGGTCCATGAGGTGGATGTGCACTTTGCCCGGGTATGGGTAGTAGAGTATGGAAGGGAAGAGCACCAGGTAGTGCCTGGAGAGGGGACACCTTGGCAGGGGAGGAGGCCACCAAATCCCAGTGCTCCCCTCTGCTCCAGACTCTCAAGGCAAAGGATGCTGGGGGTTCTCTAGCCCTGGATGCTCTCTGTAGGGCTACGCCACCCAGCCTTGCACCCATGTACCCATGGAGGCTGGCCAGAGCACAGACCAGAGCAGAGCCCACCCTGGGGGAGAGCTGTGGGGCTGATCCACAGGAGAAGGAAGGCTCTGCTCCTCCTCCAGCTTGGGTGAGAGGTGGCATCTGCACCAGCGCATCCCAGAGACACCAACCCCAGGGACAAAGTCGTGTTATGGGGACAACCACCACCCTGAACCACCCCAACCAGCCTCCACAGCCATGGCAAGCGCTGTCACACCACCGAGACCACCCGTCATCCACAGGCATGGACAGGCAGACACAAGAGGGCTTACGGCTTTGCAGATGCTCCAGCTGTGAGGTACAGGGTGCAAAGCAGCAGGCAGGGCAGGGCGGCTGCAGATCCCATCCTTGGAAGACCAATAGAACAAGGTGGTCCCAGAGGCATCGTGCTGGGTTTTATAGCTCTCCTCAAGCTTTCATCTCCCTGCTGGCAGCAAACAAAAGCCAAGCGAGGTCTGTGTCTGGGACCCAGCCATCCAACCAGGACAATGTTTAACCACCAGACCCGAGCTTTGATGGGTTCAAGGCTCTGGGCAGCCAAACGCCACCCATAGTGGTGAGAGTGCTGAGTCAGCTCGGAGCTGATGGTCTGACTGCACACAGGGAGCACAGGGAATAGCGGGTCCTTCTGGGAAGTGAGGTCTTCACATGTACGCTGCCCCTGACCGTGTCCATGGGACAGTTCTTGATCCAGCCAGTTGCTGCTCATGGGAAGCCTCTATTGTGCTGCTCGTGTTGTCTGTCTGGGTGGATGATTGCCACGGCTTTGCAGAGGTTCCTCCATAATGAGCCAGGCACTCCGAGAGCAGGAATGGTGCCAACCTGTGCCCTTGTTTGCTCAGGGTTTGCACATCTTGTTTGAAGATGGGAGGTGAAGGCTGCCCTCCCTGCAACCAGCACTGGAGACAGCCACGTGCTGCCTTTCCCCCTGCCCTACTGTCACCATAGGGTGGCTGCGACACCCTGTTGGGAAGGAGACAGCCGATGCCTAGAGCCATCCCTGGCTGCAGGGAACAGGCCAGGGCAGGTGGCAGATGATGGATGGGTCTGGTTGTGCCATGGTCTGGAGGCCATGGGGAGGTCCCTCCTGTTCATCCAGTTCCAACCCCTGCCATGGGCAGGGACACCTTCCACTAGAGCAGCTTGCTCCAAGCCCCTGTGTCCAACCTGGCCTTGAACACTGCCAGGGATGGGGCAGCCACAGCTTCTCTGGGCACCCTGTGCCAGCGCCTCAGCACCCTCACAGGGAAGAGCTTCTGCCTAAGAGCTCATCTCAGTCTCCCCTCTGGCAGGTTCAAGCCATTCCCCTTGGCCTGTCCCTACATCCCTTGTCCCAAGCCCCTCTCCAGGTTTCCTGCAGCCCCTTGAGGCACTGGAGCTGCTCTCAGGTCTCCCCTTCAGGAACCTTCTCTTCTCCAGGCTGACCCAGCTCAGCTCTCTCAGCCTGGCTCCAGAGCAGAGCTGCTCCAGCCCTCAGAGAAGCTGTGGTGTCCATAGAGATGCTCCATGTGCAGTGATGCAGACACCCCACATGGCCATAAGGAGATGGATCCCCCTCCCCACACTCCCCTCAGCACTCGAGGCGCAGGCAGGATGCAGTGCACACACAGCACCAAGTATGGACTGTTTAATCTCACACCCTTGTCTCATAGTTCAGCATCGTGACAAGGTCCCCTGGACCTGCTGCTCCTCCCCAGGCCACGCACTGTGCTCTGGACCCCTCCTCAGAGCTTGCTGCCTCGGAGCAGCATCTCCAGTTTGCAGTAGCCTCTGGAAGAAGGAACCCAGCGAGCCCGTGGGTGAACCCCACTGAGAGTCACACCATCAGGGGTGGAAAACAGTGCAGTGAAGCCCCAGCCCCGCCTGGCACATCTCTGTCCCCTTCCCAGTGTGCATGCAGGAGCAATCCAGGCAGACAGGGCTTGTTACCCAGGACCAGACACAGCACCAAGCTGGAGGGAGGCAGGCAGTGCCCTAGGGAGGGGATGCACAGTCATAGCGAGTGGGTTTAGGGGCACCTTGCACTGGTTTTGGGGTGCTGCCCTGTCCCCGTGCTGCAGTGCTCTGCTTCCCTTTGCTCCAGGCTGCTGGGGCAGTGGCAGGTCTGGTGGACACATCCACAGGGGACAAGGGGACAGCAGGCTCTGGCTGTGCCACCTCCCTCGCGGCCTCGAGGGGGTTGATCCATGTGCCTAATTGCTGGTCCCAGTTGTGTTCTCCTCGCGCTGGGGGCTGCCCGTCCCCCTGCCAGCCCCAGCCCCGGCCCCAGCGCAGTGCGGGCGCTGAGGATGCTCAGCACTCTGGTCCCCACAGCAGCTCGCAGACATCTCAGCAAAAGCATCAGCCATGGCCTGGCGGACAGTCTCGGTCAGTTTGGGGACATCCGTGGAGCTCAGGCCCTGGGTTTCCACCTTGGGGAGGATTTGGATGGTGCACGTCCCTGGATAGAGAAGGGGAAGACCAGGGGTGCTGTTAGATGAACCTGCTGGGAAGCAGGTCTCCCCACCAGCCTCAACGCTCCACAGAGGCCTCCAAGCTGCACATCCCTCATCCCTACAACAGCCCTGACCACCTTCCAGCAATGGGGCTTCTTGTCCATCACTCACCAGAGGTGAATTTCTTTTCCTTGGAGCTGAAGAAGTCCCAGTACGGGGAGAACACGATGGGGAAAATGGGAACCTGTAGGACACGGAGCATGAGGGGTGTCCATCACACAGACCCCCTCCAGCTCCTGACGTGGCCCAGGCTTCAGCAGGTCCCTGTGCCCTCACAGGGTGCCTGTCCCTGGGGACTGCAGAACCCAGAAGAGCCTCACGTCCCCCATCCCGCTGCCCCAGGGTGCACATTCCCCTGCTCCATCAAGGGCAAGCGGAGGGGAAGGCTGGCCTCACCTGAGCCTGCACAGCCAAGTGGAAAGCCCCACGCTTGAAGGGCAGCATGGATTTGTCCTGGTTCCTGGTGCCTTCAGGGAAAATCCACACTCGGAGCTGCACAGGACAGGGGCAGATGTGAGCATGGACCCAACCCAGTCACCCTGGAAACCCGCTTGCCCCATTGGTGCTTGCTCCCCCCTTGCTCCCTCACCTTTTCACGCCGCATGGTCCTGGCTGTCTGGGAGATGACATTGATGGCATCTTCCCTCTTACAGCGGTCGATGAAGATGATGCCACTGAGCCAGCAGGCCCACCCCACCGTGCCCATGTATAGGAGCTCCTTCTTGGCCACGGGCACACAGCCGTCAGGGATGACCTCCACCATGCCTGGAGGATGGATGGGAGAGGAAAGGATCTGTCCATGCCCAATGGCTCCCAGCACCAACCAGCCTTGTGGCTGCAGTGACCTGGTATCATCCTCCATTGGCCCAACCCTCTTCTGTAGCACACCCATAGCCCTGAGCTCCTGTCCCACCACCTCTTCTGGTTTATGCCTACCACACTGCTCTGTACAAACCCTGGTCCTGGCCTCTCTGGGACCCCAGAGGGTGAGCCTGGTCCACACCTGCAGCACCCCAAAAGCTGCCTATACAAGTGCTGAGCCCCCAGTCTCCCTTGCACGTACCCATGAGGTCAAGGGCAGCTTGGTGGTTGGAAACGATCACGTAGGGCTCCTCGGTGTTCAGGTGCTCCAAGCCCCACACCTGCATCTTGATGCCATACAAGTGTTTGAGGGGCAGGATCGCAGCACGCAGGAGCCTAGGGCAGAGGAACACACTGGGAGCAGATCACACAGAGTGGAGCTGTGATGCTTTCCCACCCAGGGAGCAAAGCCCAAGATGGGCCAGGCTAGATGTGGTCTGAATGAGCATAGACTGTGTCAGTCTGTACTCAGTCTTTGCTTTTCTAAGCACATTTATAGCCTGCGTAGCTCAGAGCTAACCTTGTAACATGGTTTAGTGTGAGGTGTCCCTGCCCACGGCAGGGGGGTTGGAACTGGATGATCTTAAGGTCCTTTCCAAACCGAACTATTCTATGATTCTATAACCACCCCCAAGGAGAGACCAGCTGCTGTCTGTAGTAGAAAGTCTGCATTGGAGCTGCTGATAAGGAAGAGCAGCCAACACAAGGGAGAAGAACAGACTTCCTGATGCCCAGGGATGATAGGAAAGCAAAAGGGAAGGGAAGGGAAGGGAAGGGAAGGGAAGGGAAGGGAAGGGAAGGGAAGGGAAGGGAAGGGAAGGGAAGGGAAGGGAAGGGAAGGGAAGGGAAGGGAAGGGAAGGGAAGGGAAGGGATGCCTGCAGCCAAGGTGCAAACCATCACATCCCAGTGAGGACCACAGTCTTTGCCCAGGTAAGTTTCACCCTGAGGCTCACCCAGTGTACAGCTGGAAACCCAGACACCAGCACTGCAGACACATAGAGCCAGAGGAGCTGGATAGCAACCAAGGGGGGCTGAGCTGTAGCTGGATGAGGTCTGGATAGGACAAGAGGAAACGGCCTCAAGCTGCACCAGGGCAGGTTTAGATGGAGCTGAGGAACAATTCCTGCCCCAGAGGGTGCTCAGGCATTGGAACAGGCTGCCCAGGGCAGGGCTGCAGTCACCGGCCCTGCGAGTGTTCGCACCCCGTGGAGACGAGGCCTCAGCGCCATGGGGCAGTGGTGGCCTTGGCAGTGCTGGAGAAAGACTGGACTTAATGATCTTCAAGGTGTTTTCCAGCCTGGTTGATTCCATGGCTGTATGAAGGTGGACATGCAGAGGAACAGTCTAGATGGTTTTACAGGGATATGGATGTCTCCGTGGACTGTCCCAGCAGAGCAGCCAAAGGGCAGCACCGTGGGCACCAAGCTTTGTGCTGCAGGTGGAGGGGGAAGAAAGCAGGGAAGGGGAAACCAACTCTGCTTCATTCTGCAGAGGAAATCATAGAGAACAGCTTCACTGGACCTGCAGCATCGGGAAGAGATGGACCTCCCATCTGTGCAGATGGAAGGAGGAACAAGGAAGAGCAGTGTCCCCATCCAGAGAGGGATGGACCGGATGGCAGAGCTGATGAAGGGTGACACTCACACATATGAGGGTAACGAAAGGAACGGAAGGAGGATGAAGCAACAGGGATTGCGGCACCCACAGTGGAGATAAAGAGCTGGCACGCTTTTGGCATCGAAATGGGGCACTCTCCAACTCATGGCAAGAAGAGCATTCATGCCAAGAGCCACACAGCTGGCAGTGACTGCTCCCGGGGAACCCACAGGAGCAGGAACTCAGCACCAGGGAGGGATGAGAAGAAGCTTAGGAGGGGAGAGTAGAGGTAGGCACATAGGAAGAAGGAGACATGATGTTTAGAGGGTCCATTGTATCAGCAGAACACCTATTCCTTGGGAGATGCAGGCTCAGAGACCTGTGTCTGCAGAGAAGCAAAACACTTCTGGCAATGCCCCAAAGCCAGGAGTAATGACAGGAACGTGCTCCAAGCCGGAGGCCTTGGCATTTGGAGCCTGAGGAGGAGATGAAGCTGGGTGTGATGCTCCCATGGAGGATGGCTGTAAGGTGTTGGTGGGACAAGATAAGGCAGCGTGAGTCACACTGAGTCACCCAGGGATTTCCAGTGAGCCGGAAGCGTTTGCGCCAGAGCTCGGAGCACCTCTGGATGCAACAGCGTGTGCACAGCATTCCTGCATCAAACTTCTGTTGAGGGTCCGGAATCCATTGGCACCAGCACACAATGGCTTGAGCCCAGCGATGCCACAAGCTTGGGCATCTTTCACCCTGACATAATGGCATCCCTCCTGGTACCCTTATCATGCCCAGGAATCCAGTGTCAAGATTGCAACACCCTTGAAAGCAATCGGACCTTCCCCTCGTGTTGCACAGCGATGTTATCTGGGCTGCCACCACCCTGGAGCAGAGCTGGGACAGGACTGTGCCATGCCCCACAGCTGATGGCACCCAGACATCCCCAAATCTCTCTGCCAAAGCACAGTTCCTGGGGTTCCTGCTGGCAGGGAGATGGTGATGGGGGTGCATTTCCATCCTGCTAATGATGGTACCTCCAACCTTGGACAACCCGGCCCCCCCTGTAATCCACTCAACTGATGACCCCAGTGTAGTGATGCCCAAGAACAGTCTCTTTTATGCTATGTCATCCTCCAGGTACCATTAATCCTGACCCAGCTGGCCACCTCCATCATGGTTTATCCCTCCCTTGGGATGGCCAGCAACAATTCACCACACCAGAAGATGCAGATGCACACTTCATTGCCACCTGGAGCACAGCCCTTGATGTGGCCCCAGGACTCAATCAGGATGGCTGTGGCAGGAGACAGCATGTGTCCACAAACCCACCCGAGCTCCTCCACCCAGCCACCTCTACAACAGACACACATCCCCGTGCCATACTCACTTCATGTTCTCCACAGAGCGTCCCCGAAGAGCTGCAAAGGGGGACAGGAGGGTGGCCATGGCAGTGATCCAGCAGTTGAAGAAGGCCACCTTGCAGAAGTAGTGGAAGGTGGCATTGTACCGGTAGAGCAGCAGGGCTGCCAAGGGCAGGAGGAGCAGCAGCCCATGGAGCAGGACCACCTCCATCACGCTGCCCCAGCAGGAGGATGCTGAGGAGCTCAGCCCAGGAGCAGGGCGAATGGCACAGGGGATGCCGAGGAGCATGAATGGTGGATGAATCAGATCTATCAGCAGAGCAGCATGTGGGCGTTTGGGGCTGGTCCAGGGCAAGGTGCTGCGTGTATCTCACCCTGAGCAGAGGCTTGAGGATGGACTGGCTTAGATGAGAGGCAGGCAACCCCACCAAGGGTGGAGAGTGGTGGTGAGTCAATGCCGGGGACCCTGGGTCACCTGAGGAGTCACTGCTGGGAAATGCCTTCCTGGGCTGTTAAAAGGCATTGCAGAGGTGCTGGAGCAGGTCCAGAGAAAGGCAATGGAGCTGGTGCAGGGCCTGGAGCAGAAGAGTGATGGGGAAGGGATGAGGGACCTGGGGGGTTCAGGCTGGAGAAGAGAAGGCTCAGGGGGGACCTGATCGCTGCCTACAAGTGCCTGACAGGAGGATGGAGCCAGGAGGGGCTGGGCTCTGCTCCCAAGGAACAAGGGATGGGACAAGAGGAACCGGCCTCAAGCTGCACCAGGGCAGGTTTAGATGGAGCTGAGGAACAATTCCTGCCCCAGAGGGTGCTCAGGCATTGGAACAGGCTGCCCAGGGCAGGGCTGCAGGCACCGGCCCTGCAAGTGTTCACACAGCGTGGAGACGAGGCCTCAGTGCCATGGGGCAGTGGTGGCCTGGGCAGTGCTGGGAATGGTTGGACTGGGTGAGCTTAAAGGGCTTTTCCAACCAAGCTGATTTTCATGATGCTATGACTTGATGCAATCAGATCTGTTGCCCACAAACATGCCCATGCTTTGGGCAGCTCTCCCAGCCACAGGGAACCCATCCCTGGTAAAGGAGGATCGCAGCTCATAGGGACAGCAGGAGCTGGTTCTGGTCCATGCCCATCACCCCAAGGCTTGTCACAGATCCCTGTTGGCATCATGGCTAATCCCCAATCATTGGATTATTGTTAGACATCCTCCTGCTGCTCCCTGCCCGGCTCTGCAGCAGGCACGTGGTGCCAGCACTCTCCATCTCTCTGCTCCCCCCAGGCTGGGCTGCAGGTCTAAGGTCTAAGCAATGCCACAGGGGTCTAAGCAATGCCACAGGGGTCTAAGCAATGCCACAGGGGTCTAAGCAATGCCACAGGGGTCTGAGCCCTGTCACCCCCTGCTCCTAAACTGGGCTGAAGGAGACGCTAGAGGCTGCCCCAGTTGGCAGCCAAGGGCTGCATTGCGTTACGTGTTTACAGAGGTGTAATAAGCCTGAGCAGGCTGTAATCAGCCTCTCCTCTGCTCTGCTGCTCTCGCGCTGGGCATGCAGGATCCAGGCCAATGCTGGGTTGAGCTGCAGAAGCTCTGGGTCTTGCTTTTGTGATCACAGAGCTAACTCTGGCCTGCTCTCAGCCATCAGCAGCATCTCCCAGCCAGGCTCTTCCATGTCCCAGCCCTGCCAGGATGTGCTTATGCTGTTGCCCCAACCCATCAGTTTGCCTCTGAGCAGGAACCTGTGAGCAGAGTGCTCCATTCATGCATCCCCATCACAACCCCACCTTGGCTCTGGGGCAAACAGTGCCATTATACCTCACTGGAGAGAAGCATCACATCCCCTGGGTCAAACCCAGCAGCCCTGCCCTCATCTGACACAACCTACCTCCAGCAAAACCACTGTGCATCACTCCTGCTCCATTCCACCCCGTGCTTGTGGCTGCCTTTCCCATCCTCAGCCTCTCCCTGCCCCTGCTGATGAGGGTACAAGAAGGTGCCTTTGTGCTCCTGGCTGTGTGATGCTTCCCCTGCTGAGGGGTGCCCCAGCTCATCCAGTGTGACCCAGAGAGGGTTCCAGGGGTTACTTCCACCACGGCTGTTGCAATTCCCATTGCTTCATCCTCCCATTCCTCTCATTATTCTCATATTCAAGCCAAGATTGGGCCATATCTTCAGCCTACCCTTCCTGTCCACCCCATTCCCAGGTGACTCCTCTCCTCCTCCATACCTCTCTGTCCATACAGATGTGGAAACCTCTGTGCACCTCCTTTCCCATCAAACCCAGTTTTGCTTTTGGACGGCCTCCTTCCCTTCTGCTCCTGCCCAGGCAGTCTCAGCCTGCAGATGCACTTTCATGCTGCAGCCCAACGCTGCCCTGTGCGCTCCATGTTTGGGAGCTTCTCCTCCAGCTTCAGCATGAGCCAGGCTGGGTTTGCTGCAGGGGGATCTGCATATGCCAGAGCACAGCTTAGCCCTGGACTCAGGGAGGATGAACCCTGCTTTCCATTGGGACACCAGGAGAGAGACAGGAAAGCCCTGACACGGGATGGGAGCAGAAGGAAGGGATTTAAGCTTAGGCACCAGCTTTCTGCATGTTCGGAATCCCATGTGAAGCCCTGAAGTCTCCTCCTAGGAGCTCTCCTGTTAAGGCAAAGCCTTCTGGCAACTGGCCTGTAATCCCACTGGGGTCAGAGCTCCCGTCACCCCTAAATCAGGTTGGGGAAACGGCAGAGACAGCTTCCAGCACCCCAACTGCATCTGTCCCCTTCTTCCTGGTGAGCAGCAGAGACACTGAACCCCGGGGACCTCCGGGGTCACCCCTTTTCAGGCTGCAGCCCCTACGCGGAGTACTTATGGGTCCCGGTGTAAGATCCTGGGGCCGTGCAGCCCGGGGAGAAGCCGCTCTCGAGAGCCACAGCCGGGATCAAACGGGAAGGGATGGGAGGGAAGGGAGGGAAGGAAGGGAAGGAAGGAAGGGAGGGAAGGGAGGGAAGGAAGGGAAGGAAGGAAGGGAGAGGAGAGAGGCGCCCCCGGGGACGGCGGCTGCTGGGATGAGCGGGCGGGCGATAGGACCTGGGGCTGCCCCGGCTGGCTGTGAAATTAGGGGGCGGGGCGATGGTGGTGACGTTGCAGCTATAAAACGAGGGGAGGGAGGAGAAAAGGAAGGGGAGGGCCCAGAGGGGCGGGGCGATGTCCACATAAGGAGTGGGCGAGGGGCGGGGCGATGTCCATACAAGGGGCTCTGCTCCTGGGGCCGCGGCGCGATCGCTCGGGCCGCTCCCTCGGTCCCTTCCCGGGCGCTTTGGGGTCCCAGCGGCTCCGCAGAGCCGGACCGGCCCCGGTCGGTGCCGCGGTACCGGAACGAGCCCCGCGTTCCCGGCCGTGGCTGCCGGGGTGGCGCCGAGCCCCGCGGGGCTGGACACCGGCGCCGGGGCCCTCCGGGAGCGTGGGGCTCCGCTCGAACCCTGCGAGCAGCGCCCGAGGTCTGAGCGTGGGCTGGAACTGGGCTCGGAGCTGAGCCTTGGAGACTGGAAACCGGCTCCTGGGGCTGTTTCGGGTTCAGAAGCAGAGACCGAGTCCTGCGGTTTCAGGGCTCGAAACTGGGGTCCCTAAAGCCAGATTTGTGGCTCATAAATGGAGACCAACCCCCCTGTGCTGGAGTCTGGAACTCGGCTCATGGGGTCAGTTTGGGCTGCTCAAAATCCAGGTTCAGAGCTGAGAAACAAAGTCCCATGTGTGAAAGTCCTGACAGGAGGTGACCTCCTGGGCTGATGTTGGGGCTCAGAAGCACAGACCAAGTCCTGCCTTTGGCTGCCCAGCACCAGGAGCCAAGTCCTGCACTTTGGGGTCTCAAAACCACGCTCCCTTGGCCAGTTCTGGGACTCACAGAGACCAAGTCCTCAGTCTGTCGGGTTTGACACTAGACTCACTGGCCGGCTTTAGGGCTAACACAAAACACTCTGTTTGGGGGCTCAAAACAAGGCTCCTATGGCCACATTTAGGTCTCAGAAATAGAGATGAACTGCTGTGATTTGTGAGCCGGGTTTGGGGCTGAGAAACAGTGACTGATTGCTGTTTGTGGAGTGTGAATCCGGGGTCACTCAGCCAGTTTTAGGGCTCACAAAATCCCCAACACTAAGTGCTGTGTTTGGAGCACTCCAAACCAGGCTCATTTGGCCAGATTTGGGGCTCATAAATGGCAACAAGGTCCTGCATTTTGGGGCACAAAATGAGACTAAATGCTGTGTTTTTAGGGGGCTGAGAAATGAGCTCGTGGGGCTGCTGTTAGGGCTGAGAAACAGAGATTAAATGCTACGTTTTGGAGCCTGGGATCAAAGGGCTCAAAAACTGAGACCAAGCGCTGCATTTCGGGTGCTTGGCACCAGGCTCCCTCAGCCAGTTTGGGGGCTCCCAAGAAAAGCCCCATGCTGCATTTGGGGGGGCTTGGAACAGAGACCAGGCGCCCTGTGTGTGTGCTGGGAGCCAGGCTCATGCAAGAGCTGCACTTCAGTGCCCAGAGCAGGGTCTGGGTCCTGCCGGGTGGAGCCTGACCCAGAGACCGGCCCCGTGCTCCGGGGGCTCACACCCGCATCATGCGGGAGGCCGGGACCGACGGTGCCTGCCGGAGCAGCCGCAGCCCCCCGGAACCCCCGGCCCCGTTGCAGACCCGGCCCCGGCAGCAGCTCCGCGGCGCCGGGGAGGAGGAGGAGGAGGAGGCGGCGAGGCCGAGGCCCAGCTCCGCTGCGGTGCCCGCACAAAGCCTCGGGAAGCGGCAGGTACCGGCAGTGACCCAATCCCGGCCGCCGCTCACTGGTGCGGGCTCTGCGCATCCCCAGCCCCGATACAGCCCCGGAACGCGGGGCCGGCGGAAGCGGCTGCGTTTGACCGCGTCTGTAGGTGTGGAATGGGGAATTGGCTGGTTACTAAATGCTGCTGGGATGTTGAGCCCATCCTGAGCACCCGCGCTAGGAAGGAAGTCTGCAGGGATGCGTCCTCTTGTGGTAGGAATCTCCTTCTCATGGACCACATCCCGCATCTGCCTGATGGTGTTTTACTACGTTGAGCTATCCACTAATGGAGATTTCCTCTCTCCAGGACAGGGCCACACTCGCTATAGGCTAAACAGGGCTGTTTTAACTTGGTCTCACTGCAGGGTTCAAAGGGATGAAAGAAATTGGTAAAAGTTCCTCCAGTCTTGGGTCAAAAGGGTTTTGATCTCTGCAGAGGATTTCTTTCTACAGCAACTGAAGGAGGATTTCTTCCCAGATAGAGAACTTATGCAGAATAAAAGGGATCCTGGAATGCAGGCTCCATGGGAAATGGCCACCCAACCCAAAAGACGCAGAGTATTTCATGTCATGGGAAGGTGCAGAGACCAAGTTATCCTGCTGCATTAAAGAAACACAGTGGTGCTCTCTGTGTACTTTGCTCTCCCTCGGCATCTTGGCAGAGCATCTTGGCAGAAAGGATGGCACAGAATTACAGCCAGTGATGTAGCAGAACTTTAATGAGTCAAATGAGGAAAACAGAACGGTCTCAGTGGAAGCCCGAGTGCAGGGAGCACCAGGGGCAGAAAGGAGTCTGTGCCCCATGGCTGTGGTGGGTCCCACCAGGTGCCCATCTGCTCCCCAAAGGGGGAGCAGGGCCAGCAGGTCCTCCCTAGGCTGCCTTTGAGGGGCTCCCAGCCCAGGTGAGCACAAGAGAACAAGGACAGAGGAGGGAAAGGAGAGAGTGGCAGACGTGAAAAGCAGCATGGGCTGGGGTTGCTCAGCTGCAATGGAAGCAACAACCCAAGGCCCCGTCCCAGTGCGGTGACATCTTCTGTGTCCCTGGGCCCTTCCCCAGGGCCATCGCCAGCAGCTTTAGCAGGGGAAGGACCTCCTGCCACAGTAGCGGCCGCCCAAGCCGGAGAGGCCCAAGCCGGAGATGCCAAAGCCCCCGGAGTTGATGGGCACTCCCTCGGAGCTGAGGATGCTGCCAACGGCAGCGGAGGTGGAGGAGCCCACGGCGGTGTTCTGAGGGAAGGAGCTGAGGATGGGGCCGGGCAGGGTCACCACCACGGGGGAGGGCTGGATGAAGACATTGGAGTCCTGGCACTGCCTGACACAGGGCTCATTGCAGCTGTTGGCCAGCGGGGTCGGGCCGCAGGGCTGGCAGGGCACACACGGGTTGTAGCAGGACATGTCTGGAGGTAGAGCTTCACCTGGAGACAGGGCAGGGGCAAGCAGAGCAGGGACATGGGTCAGGAGCAGACTCTCACCCCACAACATGACAGACCCTTTCCCTTAGCCCAAAAGATGTCCACCAAGAGCATTCAAGCTCAGGGAGATCCTCAGCCCCACAGCACAGGAGACACCTCACCCAAGCTCCAACATCTGTTCATGCTGCACATTCTTCACCCTTCCCTCTCCCATGGAAAGCAGCCTCAAGATGCCATAGGACAAGGAGACAGGTCTGTGCTGAGATGACCCAGATGAGGGAGAGAAGGAAGAAATAAGCAAGAGGACAAGAGCTTCAGACTCACCTTGTTCTCAAGGAGATGGAGGCGAGAGCAGTGGATGAGAGAGTGAGGAGAAGTTCCTGCTTTTATACTGCTCCTGCACAGCCCCAGGCCCACAGTCACTGCACACGGGCAGTAATTTTCCGGCAGACTCACCTCCAAAGCAAAACACCCACCTGATGGCACCAGTTGGGGTTTGGTTTCTGCCATTTAATTTCCTCATTTCTGGCATGACCACCAGGCCATGGAGGATCCTTTCAAGTGCTATAATGAGAGGCCAACGCATTCCCAGACAGCAACATGTCAGCAGAGGCAGAAGATATGCCCCCGAGTGCTGGTGGGTTCTGTGCAGATGGAGAACATGGATGTGGGGAAGTCTGGTGATGTTGTGTACAACCTGCTCTCCAGGGAGGGGATGTTCCCACTAAGAGCCATGGGCACCCAAACCCCTGATTCCTCACCAAATGGTGTGGAGTTGGGCCCCTTCTCACTACTGTAGGGGTGTGTTTGTCCCTGGTGCAGTGTTTCATTCCTCCCACTTCCCTCGCATCACCATGGACTTTGGCTGCTCTCTTGGGACCCTGTCTAGCAGGAGACACTCTACCAGAAGATGCTGATGTCCTGTGAGTCCCCCAAGCTGCGGCAAGGTCATGCTGAAGGCAATGGCCACTGGGAGTTGTATTTCCTGGGTTATGGATGGAGCTGCCCTGGCCGCAGGGGAATTGAGCCCTGTGTGGACATGGGCTGCACTCCTGGCTTGTCCTCACACCAAAGGCTGACACACGCCAGGCCAAAATTAGAGTGTGACTCGCCACGGGCAGGGAGAGTCTGTCCCAGGAACCTTGCCAATGGAAGGCATTCTCCTGCCCTCCTGGAATGCGTCCCAGCTGCCTCCAGGGCTGCAGGGCAGGGAAGCGCATCGCTCCTTGATGTGCTTTGAGAGCTGGTTTCATACTCAGAGGTGTTCTGAGCACTCCTCCTCCTTGAGCATCCCCAGGCATGTGGCACTGGGGGATTCTGCAGCCCTCATTGCTTGGGCAGTTGGAAGAGATTTTCTTGCCTCCCCCGTGGTGCTGGGTTGTGTTCCACACTGAGGAGGCCTTTGGGGCATGGGATGGGAGGAGGAACGGAGCCCTAATGGCCGGAGAAGACGTATCGCCCCAGACTGAGGGATGAGTCCCAGACACTGGGGAGATGTTTTCTGCAACCCTTTCTTTCCCTCTGTGGAGTGTACAGGACTTTGCATGAAGGAGTTAAACACTATCGGCCCCAGTCTGGGCCCCTGCAGGGCACCAGTAGTCAGTGGCAACTAGAAGGGGCTTTGTGCCACTCATCACAACCCTTGGAGAGCAGCAGACGTGCCAGATTTCAATCCCCTGCCCTGCCCTCTTCCCCAGCTTGTATTACATCGGTTGGTCTGCAATGACTGTTACAGCATCAAAAACCTTGGTTAGATGAGATTAAGAACATTTGCTTATCCCTTGACAGTAAATCCATCCACTAAAGACCAAGGGCAAGGACCCTTGGAGTACCTTTACCTTTCCTGTATCCCCTGTCCTCAATGGATCTGCTCCATTCGGCCTTTTCCCAAGGCTCCCTTTTGCTACTGAAGTGCCTGAAAGAAGACCTCGTTGCTGGTTCAATGCCAGGTGGGGTTTGGGCTCTGAAACCTCACACTCAGGTTTCCTAAACCTGCACATTCAGAAAATCGAGCAGATGCTCTCCACAAGGCAAAGGGCATCAACAGGAAGACAGTTGAAACCTCTTCTTGCAAAGGGAGTAGGAAATTCCATTTCGCTGTCCTAAGCCAGAATCCCTTTGCTGCACGGAAACTCCACACTCACCACTTGAGGGCACTTCACCCTACAAAACAAGGTGTTCCCTGCGATATCCTCTGGAATGTCATGGCAGCACATGAAAGCAGAGCACATCCCAAAGGAGGCATGTGAGCAATGAGGAAATGAAATGGCAGCACTGATGGAAACCAAACCCCAAACAGTCCCATCAGGTGGGTGTTTTGCTTTGGAGGTGAGTCTGCTGCAAAATTACTGCCCGTGTGCAGTGACTGTGGGCCTGGGGCTGTGCAGGAGCAGTATAAAAGCAGGAACTTCTCCTCACTCTCTCATCCACTGCTCTCGCCTCCATCTCCTTGAGAACAAGGTGAGTATGAAACCCTTTCTCCTTCTTGTATTCCTCCAGGGTATCTCAGCTCATACCTGCCCCTATGACCCCCCGCTTGCTCTTGGAACTGCTTGATATGGGAGATGGAACAGGGCAGCAAGTGTGTCATGCAGATAGGCTGGGGCTTGGTTATGTATTCCCGGACCTATGGGCTTGGAAGGACTCCCTGGGCTTGGTTGCTTATGGCAGGATCTTTTGGGCTGAGGGGAAGGAGAAGTCCATGGGTGTCCAAACAATGCCTCCAGCTCTTGTACCTGCCCTGTACATGTCTCTGTCATGGTGGTGTGAGAGTCTGCTCCTAACCCATGTCCCTGCTCTGCCTGCCCTGTCTCCAGGTGAAGCTCTTGCATCCAGACATGTCCTGCTACAACCTCAGCTCATTCCTGCTCCTATGACCCCCAATTGGTCTTGGAACTTCTGGACAGGGAAAGTGAATGGGGCAGCAAGTGTGTCATGAAGATAGGCTGGGGCTTGGTTATGTGTTTGGGCTTGGAAGGAGTCTCTGGGCTTGGTTGCTCTTGTCAGGGTCTTTTGGGCTGACGGGAAGAAGTCCATGGATCTCTATACAACACCTCCAGCTCTTGTACCTGCCTTGTCTCTGTCATGGTAAAGTAAGAGTCTGCTCCTGACCCATGTCCCTGCTCTGCTTTCCCCTGTCCTGTCTCCAGGTGAAGCTCTCTCATCCAGACATGTCCTGCTACAACCCGTGCGTGCCCTGCCAGCCCTGCGGCCCGACCCCGCTGGCCAACAGCTGCAATGAGCCCTGTGTCAGGCAGTGCCAGGACTCCAATGTCTTCATCCAGCCCTCGCCAGTGGTGGTGACCCTGCCCGGCCCCATCCTCAGCTCCTTCCCACAGAACACCGCCGTGGGCTCCTCCACCTCTGCTGCCGTTGGCAGCATCCTCAGCTCCGAGGGAGTGCCCATCAACTCCGGGGGCTTTGGCATCTCCGGCTTGGGCCTCTCCGGCTTGGGTGGCCGCTACTGCGGCAGGAGGTCCTTCCCCTGCTAAAGCTGCTGGCGACGGCCCTGGGGAAGGGCCCAGGGACCCAGAAGATGGCACCGCACTGGGGATGCCGACTCCTCTCTGCCTTCGGTGCTCCCTGCACCAGGAGCTCCACTCACAGTGTCCTTGTTTCCCTGTTTTGACTCATTAAAGTTCTGCTGCATCCCAGCCTGTGACTTTGTGTCATCCTTTTTTATGCAGATGCCAAGATCCCAAGAAAAGCATTTCCTGTGCAATTTTGACCTTGCTTGATTTCATGGCAAATACACCTTGCAGAAGAATCAGAATTCTTTGGCCTTTCTCAATCACTTCCTTTGTTTTGGTGATGGGGTAACCAAACTGCAACTACACTGAGAGGAGGGAGAGGCATTGTCTTCAGAATTTCAGACAGGAAGATGCTCTCTTAACCACAGGTGTATCCAAATCCAGGCAGTACATTGCTGCCAAGCTGTTAGAATACAGCAGTAATTCATTCTGGACCACCTTTTCAGATGGCGCTTGTACACAGGGCATTCTCCGGTCCTTAGGAGACCTCCTTGTCATCAGATGACTGCCGCAGAAAAAATAACTCAGTCAGGGATCAGTGTGATCAGATATTGCAAAGCCTTAGCTCCTTATATACTATCCCTTACATGCATTTACAGGGATTTGGCATATTATGATTGGATACATGTCTTGAAGACCCTTAGCGACTAACATGCAATTGGTTAAGCACAGGTGTGAGAACTTGACCTCGAAAGCTTGCCAAGAGTCCCCAGTTCTCATAACTCAGTGAATTCCAGCTTCTTTCTATCTTGCTTGCTTAAGCTTCCTGGGGCCTCTCATGGCCTTGCTGTATCTTTCAGGATTATTCAGAGTTCATGTACCAAATATGCATTCTCCTGGGAGAACCCTGTGTCCACAGATGACTTCCATCACAACTAATCCTCTCAGGTACTTTATACCTCTCTAAGCCTTGGTTCACCTTCCTTGCTGGATCACAAGATCTTGAACAGATATCTTGCCCTCATACTTGACAGCACACACCTCCAGGCACTGCAATTCACAGCTTCTTTTCCAAGTCCACTGTCAATTCCTGGGTGATCAGCTGTTGAGGGATCCCAGCTGTTTGGCTTCCTTACCTACCAGTTCCTGACTGTTGGCCCCACTCCCCAGACATCAGAGTTGCCATGCAGTAACCTGCTCACCAGGCTGGTGGCTGTAATGTTTCCCTGTATTGAAGCTCTCTTGAGGTCAAGGACTGGGTGCATCCAAATCCAGCTTGGATGGGGCTTGGAGCAACCTGGTCTAGTGGAAGGTGTCCCTGTCCGTGGCAGGGTGTTGGAACTGGATGAGCTTCTTCCCCAAGCCTTTCTATGATTCAACTCTGTACTTTCTGTCACTTCAGTTACTTGTCTCACTTCATCCTGCCACTCCTTTGCTGAAGGGCTGCCTTTCTCATCACACACTTCTCTCCTCACTTCTTTACTAATCAATGAGAAGGACCCATTCACTTCATTGTCCACTATTTCTTTTTCATTACCAGAACAATCACTGCAGATAGTGTTTGGGTTCCTGTCCCAGCCATGCTGTCCTCACCTGTGGTTTGGGTCTCTGCCTCAGCTACCATATCTCCGTCTGGAGACCAGTAACAAGTGGTGTCCCTCAGGGATAGGGGTTGGGACCAGTCTTGTTCAACATCTTTGTTGGTGACATGGACAGTGGGATTGAGCGCGCCCTCAGGAAGTTTGCCGATAACACCAAGCTGTGCAGTTCAGTTGATACCCTGGAGGGAAGGAATGCCATCCAGAGGGACCTCGACACACTTGTGAGGCAGGCTGATGCCAACCTCATGAGGTTTAACCATGCCAAGTGCAAGGTCCTACACCTGGGTGGGAGCAATCCCAGGCACAGCTACAGGTTGGGCAAAGAAGAGATTCAGAGCAGCCCAAGGAGGAGGACTTGGGGGTGTTGGTTGATGAGAAAATGAACATGAGCCGGCTTCAGTGTGCGCTTGCAGCCCAGGAAGCAACCGTATCGTGGGCTGCATCAAAAGCAGCGTGACCAGCAGGTTGAAGGAGGTGATCCTGCCCCTCTGCTCTGCTCTTGTGAGACCTCACCTGGAGCATTGTGTGCAGTTCTGGTGTCCTCAGCATAAAAAGGGCATGGAACTGTTGGAACAAATCCAGAGAAGGCCACGAGGATGATCAGGGGTTGGAGCAGCTCCTGTATGAAGACAGGCTGAGGAAGTTGGGGCTGTTCAGCCTGGAGAAGAGAAGGCTGCGTGGAGACCTCAGAGCAGCTTCCAGTATCTGAAGGGGGCCTATAGGGATGCTGGGGAGGGACTCTTCCTTAGGGACTGTAGGACAAGGGTTAACAAGTTAAAACTGAAACAGGGGAAGTTTAGATTGGATATAAGGAAGAAATCCTTTCCTGTTAGGGTGGTGAGGCACTGGAATGGGTTGCCCAGGGAGGTTGTGAATGCTCCATCCGTGGCAGTGTTCAAGGCCAGTTTGGACAAAGCCTTGGGTGGTATGGTTTAGCGTGAGGTGTCCCTGCCCATGGCATGGGGGTTTGGAACTGAATAATCTTAAGGTCCTTTCCATCCCTAACTATTCTATAATTCTATATAGTTTGGGTCCCTGCTCAATCTTGACATCTTCAGTGGTCATTCAGGTCCCTGTTTTAATCATGGCCCTCTGATGTTGTGGCTCATTAAACAGAGGTCAAGTACAAGCAAGGCCAATACAGTGCTAAAAGCAGCTGATTTTCAAGCAACAGCCACCCAGGGACTGGTCACCTCAAGGCACATTTCTCTGTCACCACACCCAGAAGTTGCCACCTCTTAAGCCAGCATGACAGCAGTTTCCACAAACCCACATTAAGCCAAGAGTTCATTAGTATTTGTAAAAACCTCACAGAAGAGTGAACAAGGACCTTGGGAACCTGCACAACAGAATGAGCCACATCAGTTTTGGATGGGGAGCTGTATTCCCTCATATTCTCCACTAGACAGCTCAATAGCACAGTTGGAGCATCAGTGCCAGGGCAATTACTGATTGATTCAGAAGACAAAAACCTTAATAAGGACGTGAAGCCCAAGCAGGAGATACAGAGGAGGAGGAAGCAGGGACAGGCCACTTTGGATGTTGTCAGAGTACCCAGAAATGCGATGGGGAAAACCAAGGCCCATTTGGGATTCTATCTAGCAGGGGATATTAAGAACAACAGGAAGGGCTTCTTCAAACAGATCAATAATAAGAGGAAAATGTGGGAACACTCCAGACTGGAGCAGGGACCCTGATGACAGAAGACACAAAGAAGGCAGAGATACTGAATGCTGCCTTTTCTTCAGTCTTCAACGTCAAAGCGAACCCGCAGGAATCCCTGAGCCAGAAGACCAGAGAGAAGGTCTGGACAAAGGAAGTCTTTCCCTTGGTTTAGGAGGCTTGGTTAGAGAGAAGGAGATTGGACCAGATGACCTCTGGTGGTTCTTTCCAGCCTCAACCATTCTGTGAATGACCCAATGCCCAAACCTCCTCCTTCCTCTTACCATTTATTGCTCACCATGATGTCATATGGTATGGAAAATGCCTTTGATCAGTCTGGCACATCAGTCCTTCCTTTGTCCCCTCCCAACCTCTTGCCCACCCCCGCCTACAATCATTTTGGAGACGCAGTCAGAGAGACAGCATTGGTGCTGTGCAAGCTCTGCCCAGCAAAACCCAAAACATTTATGTGTTACCAGCACCATTCCAGGTACAGCTACAAAGAATCAGTGGGAGGGCTAATAGGGGGCCAACTCCATCCAGGTAAATCCTGCACAATGCTATTACAAATCACTACAGAATTATCCCCTCCCAAAACCACCCCTGAGCATCAGTTCTCCCCCTGAGCATTTTGGGAGAGCATCTGTATGAAAAAGGATGAGAGAGAGGCATGGGTTGGGATGCAGCAGAACTTTAATGAGTCAAAACAGGGAAACAAGGACACAGTGAGTGGAGATCTTGGTTCAGGGAGCACCAAGTTGGCAGGTGCCATCTTCTGTGTCCCTGGGCCCTTCCCCAGGGCCATCGCCAGCAGCTTTAGCAGGGGAAGGACCTCCTGCCACAGTAGCGGCCACTCAAGCCGGAGAGGCCCAAGCCGGAGATGCCAAAGCCCCCGGAGTTGATGGGCACTCCCTCGGAGCTGAGGATGCTGCCAATGGCAGCGGAGGTGGAAGAGCCCACGGCGGTGTTCTGTGGGAAGGAGCTGAGGATGGGGCCGGGCAGGGTCACCACCACTGGCGAGGGCTGGATGACGACATTGGAGTCCTGGCACTGCCTGACACAGGGCTCATTGCAGCTGTTGGCCAGCGGGGTCGGGCCGCAGGGCTGGCAGGGCGCACACGGGCTGTAGCAGGACATGTCTGGATGACAGAGCTTCACCTGTAGACAGGGCAGGGGCAAGCAGAGCAGGGACATGGGTTAGAAGCAGACTCTCACCCCAAGACAAGCCAAGGTTGAAACAAGACCTGGAGATGTTGTAGGGACATCCACGGAATTCAGCTTCCCCTCAGACAAAACATGCTCCATCAAGAACAGTGATGTACAGGGAGCTCCCAGTGTAGCCATCGCTCACTTCAGCCAGCCCCAGCCCATCTGCATGATACACCTTCTGCTCCCTTCCCTCTCTCATTAGTAGCAGCCCCTTGACCCAGCATAGGACAAAAGGCAAGCGTATGCTGAGAAAAGCTGAAGAGGAAAAGGAGGCAGAAGAAAAGAAAAGGCTTCAGACTCACCTTGTTTTCAAGGAGATGAAGGCAAGGGCAGTGGATGAGAGAGTGAGGAGAAGTTCCTGCTTTTATACTGCTCCTGCACCGCCCCAGGCCCACAGTCACTGCACACAGGCACTAATTTTCCAGCAGACTCACCTCCAAAGCAAAACATACGCCTAATGGCACAGGTTGGGGTTTGGTTTCCATCAACGCACCCATTTCAATTCCTCATTTCTGAAATGACCATTATGTCACAGAAGATCCTTTCAAGTATCAAGATGAGAGGCCCAAATATTTCCTGTCAGGAACACATCAATAGCAGCAGAAGATATACTCCAAGTGGTGGAGGTGTTTGTGGAGGTAAGAGGCATGCGTCTGGAGAGATCTGATGAGGCTGTTTTCAACCCTCTGGAGAGGAACGTGCTGTGCCGCCAATGCAGTCCTCTCCTGCCTGTGTCCACTTGTTTGGCCGCTTTCCCCCCTTGTGACAATATCTGGGGTCCCAAGCAAGACCATCTGCAGGCACATCAGTAGCACAGGCGTGGCAGAGAAACACATCAGAAATGAGGAAATCAGATGGAAAACAGCCCCCGTCCTGTGCCATTAGGTGAGTGTTTTGCTTTGGAGGTGAGTCTGCTGGAAAATTACTGCCCGTGTGCAGTGACTGTGGGTCAGGGGCGGTGCAGGAGCAGTATAAAAGGGGGAACTTCTCCTCACTCTCTCATCCACTGCTCTCGCCACCATCTCCTTGAGAACAAGGTGAGTATGAAACTCTTTCTCATTCTCATTGTCTTACTGTTTCTCCTCATCCTCCTTTGAGATTTCTCAGCATAAACCTGCTCCTTCATCCTACACTGGAGTTGAAGCAGCTTGTCACAGGACAGGAAAAATGGTAGTAGTTTTGGCATGGAGTTAGGCTGGGTCTTGGCTGAGCAATGGTCTGGGTGGTGACCTTCTGGCTTTGGTTGCTCTTGGCAGGGCTCTTTTGCACTGAAGGGAAGCTGAAGGCAGTGGGACTCCTTACGCAGCCACAAGCTCATGACTCCATCTTATTGCTTGGCTGCTTTGTGGTGGGCTTCAGGCTGCTCCTAACCCATGTCACTGCTCTGCCTGCCCCTGCCCTATCTCCAGGTGAAGCTCTGCCATCCAGACATGTCCTGCTACAACCCGTGTGTGCCCTGCCAGCCCTGCGGCCCGACCCCGCTGGCCAACAGCTGCAATGAGCCCTGTGTCAGGCAGTGCCAGGACTCCAATGTCGTCATCCAGCCCTCCCCCGTGGTGGTGACCCTGCCCGGCCCCATCCTCAGCTCCTTCCCTCAGAACACCGCCGTGGGCTCCTCCACCTCCGCTGCCGTTGGCAGCATCCTCAGCTCCGAGGGAGTGCCCATCAACTCCGGGGGCTTTGGCCTCTCCAGCTTGGGCCTCTCCGGCTTGGGCGGCCGCTACTGCGGCAGGAGGTGCCTCCCCTGCTAAAGCTGCTGGCGACGGCCCTGGGGAAGGGCCCAGGGACCCAGAAGTTGGCATCGCACTGGGGATGCCGACTGCTTTCTGCCTTTGGACTCCCTGCACCAGGAGCTCCACTCACTGTGTCCTTGTTTCCCTGTTTTGACTCATTAAAGTTCTGCTGCATCCCAACCCATGCCTCTCTCTCATCATTTCCCCTGCAGATGCTCTCCCAAGGTGCCCAAGGATAGAGTTGTTTCTCTGTGTGATTCTGGGATGGGGTTTTTGGGATGAGTGTGTAGTGGTTGTTAATACAATTGTTGTGAATGGAAAGACTCAGGGCAGTCTTTCCAAAGTGTCCGTTCTTTGGAGCATGGCTGCGCATCCTCTGCTCGTGTGAGGTGCCCGGTGTTGCCTTTGCACCACTTGAGTTTTCTCTTTTTTTCCCCTTCCGCTCATAGACTGTCACTCCGGCCCACAGGCAGAGAACATCCTCCTTGCCCTGCTCCTTCCCTGCCTGTGCCCAGCGTTTCCTGGGGATGCTTCTGGAGAGCGGGAGCAGGTGAGGAAGAGGCAGCGTGTGCAGGCCTAGTGTCTCAAGGGTCTGTCCAGGAGCTCTCACCAGCAGTGCGGTGACCAGAGGCAAAGGCTGCAGAGGCTTTTGGCTGAGAAAGGGGAGCAGCTGAACTGCTGCAGGAGAGAACTGGGTAAGATCCCACATGTCCACCCAGATCCCTGCATGGCCGCAACCAGCCCTAGCTGTCCGCACATGCTTCCACCCTGACAAGCAGCAGCCTAAGGCAGGGCCAGTTTTTCTGGTAGCACCATCAAAACTGTTTCTGCACAAAAAGGACTGTCATCGGCATCATGGCCAATACCAATAGGACTCATCCCACTCTGCTCAGCACTCACCAGCTGGGCTCTAAAACACTGCTCTAACACAAGAAAGATCTAATGGGAGAAAGACCTTGACCAAATGGCATGAGTTCAGCAGAGGGTGTCCAAGTTGGTAAGGACCTGGAGCACGTGTTTAGGAGGAGTGGCTGAGGGCGTGGGCTTTGCAGATTGTGAGGAGAAGGCTTTGGTGGGAGACCTAAGAGCAGCTTAGGTGTAGCCATGGTGAGGTCCCCCAGAGCACAGATCCAGGCTCAACAGTGCTCACTGTGGCAGAGTGTGGTTGGAGAACTGGAGACATCGGGCTCACTGTGAGAGATGAGAGGTTTGGACTCGATCGGCAGCAACTGGTTTTCACCAGGAAGAGAGTCAAGGAGTGGAAAAGGTTGCCTGGGGAGGTAGTGCAGTAACAGGGCTTGGATGCTCATGTCTGATTGATCTTGGAGCAAGGGGTTGGGCCCTATGACCTCTGGAGGTACTTTCTAATTGAGTACGCTGTGATCCCATCATGCCAGGATGGCCTTTGTGCCTCTGCCCTCTGGCAGGGATAGGGCTGGCAATGAGGAGGAAGGACTCAGCTGCTTGGCCAAGGACTCAAAATCTCAATGCTGCGAAAGGGCAAGTTCTCCTGTGCTTTCTGGGGAAGGTGTTGATGCTGCCCTGTCAATAACCATTCATCCTTTCTTCTCCTGACTGCCTTCTTCACAACGCTGAGCTTCCCAAGGAAAAGGAAGAGGTGTATGCACCCAGCTGATGGTAGTGACTGGGTCATTCAGTCATTCAGTCCTGCTATACACCACATTGGCAGAGAAGTTCAGAAACAAGAGAGTCACAGAATTCATGACTGAGAAAACTCAGTGCAAACCCATGTTGACAATAACTGCGCAATAATATCCAACACCCAGTCCCAGAACCCTTTGTGCAACATCTCTCTCCCTGGGCATCTTGGGAGAGCATCTGCAGGGGAAAGGACAAGACAAAGGCATGGACTGGGCTGCTACAGAGATTTAATGAGGCAAAATAGGGGAGCGAGGTCAATCAGAGTAGAGGTCACAGAGCAGGGAGCATCACGGTCAGAAAGGAGTCTGTGACCGCCAGTGGAGTGCCATCTTCTGTGTCCCTGGGCCCTTCCCCAGGGCCGTCGCCAGCAGCTTTAGCAGGGGAGGCACCTACTGCCACAGTAGCGGCCGCCCAAGCCGGAGAGGCCCAAGCTGGAGAGGCCAAAGCCCCCGGAGTTGATGGGCACTCCCTCGGAGCTGAGGATGCTGCCAACGGCAGCGGAGGTGGAGGAGCCCACGGCGGTGTTCTGTGGGAAGGAGCTGAGGATGGGGCCAGGTAGGGTCACCACCACTGGCGAGGGCTGGATGAAGACATTGGAGTCCTGGCACTGCCTGACACAGGGCTCATTGCAGCTGTTGGCCAGCGGGGTCGGGCCGCAGGGCTGGCAGGGCACACACGGGTTGTAGCAGGACATGTCTGGATGAGAGAGCTTCACCTGGAGACAGGGCAGGGGCAAGCAGAGCAGGGACATGGGTTAGGAGCAGACTCTCACTCCACGAGCAAGGATGAAAGGCTTGCTCCATAGACAAGAGCTGGAGGCCGTGCAGAGAGGCGCTTGGACTTTTCCTTTCTCTGAGAAGACCCCTGCCTATATTGACTAAGCCCAGGAAGGTCCACACGAACTCTGTAGCCCTGGGGACACCAAATGCAAGCCCCAAGCCCTGTCCATGTCATAGACAAGTCCAGGTCCATGTCACACTTTCCGCCCTCTTCCCTTCACTGTAGGAAGAAGTTCCAAGTCCCAGCACAAGATAAAGAGGCAGGTATGTCCTCAGAAATGTCAGTGGAGGTGAAGGATGAGAAAGAGCTTCACACTCACCTTGTCCTCAAGGAGATGGAAGCGAGAGCAGTGGATGAGAGAGCGTGGAGAATTTCCCCTTTTATACTGCTCCTGTGCCGCCCCAGGCCCACAGTCACTGCACACGGGCAGTAATTTTCCAGCAGATTCACCTCCAAAGCAAAACGCCCACCTAATGGCACCTGTTGAGGTTTGGTTTCCATGAACAATACATGTCCTCGTTTGCGACACACCCACCAGCTTATGGAAGATCCTTTCAAGTACCAGGATGAGAAGCCTAAGAATTTCCTGTGCAGGAACACATCACTACGGGCAGAAGACAATTCCCAAGGGGATCCCCATGGATTTGGGTTCTTCCTCATTACCTGTGGGGTGTGTTGGGGCTCAGGACAAGGTCTTGCTTTTCGCACACTCCTCCCTGCAAATTGGCTGGGGCTTTGCACCCTGGCCAGCCAGAGACACAGGGTTCTGGCCAAGTTTCCAAAGCTCCTGCAGCCCCTGAGCTATGGGAGCTGTAGCAGGAAAGTCCTGCTGAGGGCGATGGCCATGAGGTCATCCTGGAGCCCTGGACTTGGGTGATGCCCTGTGCTCAGAGCTCATTTTCACAGGGCAGGGATGGAACTGCCCTGGCCGCAGGGGAATTGAGCCCTGTGTGGACATGGGCTGCACTCCTGGCTTGTCCTCACACCAAAGGCTGACACACGCCAGGCCAGAATTAGAGTGTGACTCGCCACGGGCAGGGAGAGTCTATCCCAGGAACCTTGCCGATGGAAGGCATTCTCCTGCCCTCCTGGAATGCGTCCCAGCTGCCTCCAGGGCTGCAGGGCAGGGAAGCGCATCGCTCCTTGATGTGCTTTGAGAGCTGGTTTCATACTCAGAGGTGTTCTGAGCACTCCTCCTCCTTGAGCATCTTCAGGCATGTGGCACTGGGGGATTCTGCAGCCCTCATTGCTTGGGCAGTTGGAAGAGATTTTCTTGCCTCCCCAGTGGTGCTGGGTTGTGTTCCACCCTGAGGAGGCCTTTGGGGCGTGGGATGGGAGGAAGGACAGAGCCCTAATGGCCGGAGAAGACGTATCACCTCAGATTGAGGGATGAGTCCCAGACACAGGGGAGATGCTTTCTGCAACCCTTTCTTTCCCTCCATGTTATGTTGTGGAGCTCATCCTCAGGAAGAGAAGCCTTTGGGTATTCTGCTGACATGTGCAGTGTGGGGAAGAGCTGAGCTTCTTCCTGCAAAGGAAGTTGCCAGCAGCCATGCTTCACTGCCCCAAGCCAACATCGCATGTGCCTGTTTGGGACTATTCAAATACCTGGGGCTTCTCTTCTGCTCCCTGGTGTGATTCTCCCTGGGATAGCCTTGGGCTCCTCATCCCGGGACATGAAAGGAGCTGCATGGCAAGTTCATCACATCAGGAATGAGGAAATGAAATGGCAGCATTGATGGAAACCAAACCCCAACCTGTGCCATCAGGTGGGTGTTTTGCTTTGGAGGTGAGTTTGTTGGAAAATTAGTGCCTTTGTGCAGTGACTGTGGGCCTGGGGCTGTGCAGGAGCTGTATAAAAGCAGGAACTTCTCCTCACTCCCTCATCCACTGCTCTCGCCTCCACCTCCCTGAAGACAAGGTGAGTATGAAGCCCTTTCTCTACCCCTTTCTGCTTCTCTCCTCCTTTGAGATTTCTCAGCACTTTACTGCCCCTTTGACCCATGAGCGCCTTGGCTTTTCTTGTCATGGGGAATAGGGAGGAAGATTTTCCATGGCTGGATCTTGGCTGAGGAGACTTCTGAGCTCTGGGGTTATTCTTGGTCTATCTTGGCAGGGATCTTCTGAGGGAAAGGAGAAGCTTAAATGCCTCCTTGTACAGTCTCCAGCTCTTGTCTACCGAGCATGCCTTTCATTCTTCCTGGTGTGGTGAAAGGCTGCTCCTGACCCATGTCCCTGCTCTGCTTTCCCCTGTCCTGTCTCCAGGTGAAGCTCTCGCATCCAGACATGTCCTGCTACAACCCATGCGTGCCCTGCCAGCCCTGCGGCCCGACCCCGCTGGCCAACAGCTGCAATGAGCCCTGTGTCAGGCAGTGCCAGGACTCCAATGTCTTCATCCAGCCCTCGCCAGTGGTGGTGACCCTGCCCGGCCCCATCCTCAGCTCCTTCCCACAGAACACCGCCGTGGGCTCCTCCACCTCCGCTGCCGTTGGCAGCATCCTCAGCTCCGAGGGAGTGCCCATCAACTCCGGGGGCTTTGGCCTCTCCGGCTTGGGCCTCTCCGGCTTGGGCGGCCGCTACTGTGGCAGGAGGTCCTTCCCCTGCTAAAGCTGCTGGCGATGGCCCTGGGGAAGGGCTCAGGAACCTGGAA